GTTCCTTTAGCAAAAGTCTGCAACTCGAGCCATATAAGTTGACGATAGTGGGTACACTTAGAGGGAATAAAAGAGAGACTCCAGAGGAACTGAATAACAGCAGAACGAGGCAGGTTGGCAGTTCCATCTTTTGCTACGATGGCCCACTTACTTTGCTTTCCTTCAAACCAAAGCCATCGAAGGTGATTTATTTGTTGTCGTCCTGTGATGAAGAGGGTACCATCAATACAAACTCTAAAAAGCCACACATGATTGAGTTTTATAACTCCACTAAAGGTGGTGTCGATAGTTTCAGATGTGCTCTAATATGTCGACTAACCGAAAAACCAGTAGATGGCCAATGTGTGTCTTTTACGGAATGATCAATATTGCGTCAATCAATAGCTACGTTATACAATGTCACAATTTGTATAATAGTAGGTCAAAAACCAATCTCACGCAGAGATTTTATGAAAAAACTACATTTTCAACTTGTAGAATTTTGGCTAAAGGCAAGACTGGCAAAAATCACGATGCCAACCTAAGTGAAAGAGAAGATCAGGAGCGTTCTTTCAATGCAACCATCCACGAGTCAAGATCACCAGTCAACTTCTCTTCAAAGCCATGAAAACGCAGAGCAGCCATCAACATCTTCAGGTCGAGAAAACCGTAAGAGAAAAACGTGTGGAAAGTGCCACTACAAGAAAAAGCGTATGACCAAAAGTATGTGTGCCAACTGCAACGTTGCGATATGAGGTGAACATAAAGTTGATTTTTGTGTCACTTGTGCTCAAGAGAAATAATTTATTTTATGTTTTAATTACTTTTTATGTTTCTTCGTGCCATATGAAGCCAAAAAACTGATTTTTAAATTTATTGTTGATTTTGCATGCCAAAATGGATAGTTAAAAAATGTTCCTAATTCTCTAGAGGTAGGAATTTAATCCATACTTAATATTATAAATGGGAAAGTGTGTTTGTTTGTTTGTTTGTCTTCTCTTCACGCCTAAGCCGCTGAACCGATTGTGATGAAAGGTATAGCTTGAACTTATGAGACTGCTATAGGCTACTTTTTTTTTAATTTATGTATTCTAATTTACATAATTTTCAACTAAATTAATCATTTTCATGGTTGGTCCCGATAGAGATGGCGCTACTGTCACGAAGACAGATCAAATTTGAAATGTGGAAATTGCTATCTTAACATAATACGAGATGGCACCACTCGTGTTCAATACCGAGTATTTTGTGTTAGTGTTTCATTTATTAAATCGAGGTAATTTTACGCAATTTCTTTCTAATCTCATTTTTAAAATGAAATCTAGCAAATACTACTCTAAATTTATAACATAAAAATATCATTTTCGAGTGATTATAGATTCTGGATGTTGCTTATAATAATATAAAATAAAGATGGCGCTACCATCTCGAATACCAACTCAATCGAGTAGTCTCTCTTGAAATAATATTTTCTGAGTAACTTAACAGATGGCACCACCCATCTTTAAAATCGAGTATTTTTAATTGCTAAAAATGTGAGTTGTGATATTGCGTTTTTTCAGATCGCGCTATTTATGAACATGACTTTTTAATATTTATTGTTAATTATAACGTGATGTAGGTAGATATTTTAATTAAAACAATATTAGTAAAAAAACCGACTTCCTTCAGTGTCCTAATATCTTACCAGAAAATCTTATAAACATCAAATAGATATTAAATAATCAGCTGTTTACAGTAGACAGATAGTAAATAAACAGCTGTTATGATTTATTTTAGTCCCTTAATCGAGTATTATCCAATAATTTTCAAGTGAAGATTGATCCTGGATGTTGAGTAGAGGTAGGCGCTACCAACTCGAATAACAATTCGAAAACCAAGCTGTTGCGTGTAAAACTGAAGAGATGTCGCTACCCGTCATTAAAATCGAGTTTACTTGCACTAAAAATCTGAGGTTTTTCGGATGGCGCTATTCATGAACATTACTTTTTTATATTTATTGTTTTTAATAGTATTCTGTTATCTGTGCTATTAGAGAAGAATCAACGTGGTGGTGTTAAGTGCTTTTTCAGCAGGTAAGCAACAGCAAGCAGAAGGTACCTACCTACCTTGATTGATTTTAAAGAAATACGATTTACCAAGGTACCTACCTACCTACATATCTGTTTTTGTTTTCCTTTGTGATTTGGTTTTGTTGTGCATTAAATGAATTAGGTAGGTATTTTGGTAGTTTCTTCGAATGTATAAAATTGGCTCACTGATAAAAATTACGATTATTATATTATAACCTACCTACCTCGATTTTTACCAGTAAGATAGACAACGCATAGGTAGGTATTGGTTTTTGTAATAACATGGTATTGTAGTTTTTGATTGGTTTTGTTGCTCTGAAAGAAGGGCTGCCTATTTGGTAGATACCTTTGTAGATAGGTACCTTGATTGGTACCTACCTACATTATCTACAAAGTGCGCATACTATTTCGGCAGGTACCTAGATAGGTAAATACCTTGATTTTAATAAAATACGAATTACCTATCTACATATCTACATAATAATATGTTAAGTATCTGTTTTTAAAATAATAATAATTAAATAAAAATAATTAATTTAAAAAAAGACAAAAAGGAATATTAAAAAGCAATCGTACTAATACTTTTATACTAATGCTTTTACATTTTGAAGTTTTATTACGTATTAGGTATTATTATGAGAGTGTTTGTTTTGTTTATCCTTCCTCGAAGCCTAAACCACTTTGAAATTTGGTAAGTATGTAGGTTGAAGCTTTGGGTTGCTATAAGCTACTTTTTTACTCACTATGTCAAAAGAGGATGAGAGCCTCAAATAGGAAAACCACGCGAGCGTAGCCGCGGGTAACAGCTAGTAAATAAATAAATAAGGGCATTTTACAAAATGCATTTTTATTTACAATCATATTAAAGAATAAAACTATAAAAAAGCGGTTGATTTTTTTAATTACTTTATAATAAAAAAATCATTTTTTAAATACCCGTCGTTTCGACGGATGGTTAGCTTAAATAGAGTACACCAGAAGGTTAGCTATCTAGGGTTTAATTAAGTGTTTAACGAAATTTATTTCAAGCCCATAAAAATACTGTAGTACAACAATATAACATCCGTTTGGATGATATTACGATTATTAGGACATAGATGTTTAAATGTTGGCAATAAACTAACTGTTTCAGATCCTTTATTGAGATTTTAAAGCATGGGTGACATGGGTGTAGATAAATACACTCTATTCAAATAACGAAGTCCCTTTTGACACTTCCTAGAACGTAACTCTGCACGTTTCGCATAATTTGAAATAATATTTATTTTTTGTTCATGGTCGTAAATCATCATTTAAAAACTACACAATTAATCTAAATCATTATACAATTAATTCACACGCACAATCAACATATTGTTTTTAGACATCGTGCTCAAATATAATTAAAAGTGTAAAAGATAATAATATTTTACTGCAGTTTGGCGTTTACATTCTATAGTTTTATTTTTACTTTTTTACATAGTGACGCCACTAAAATAATCGAATAAAATCGATAATAGACATCATCGCGAGTGAAAATCTGTCAACACTGCGTCCACCTTGTGATCACGTCCCGCTATTTTGTTTGTCTCTTCAGTACGAGTGCAGAAGCCTTGTATACGATACGCATGTTCAGTTTAGTTGATTTTGTGTTGTGTTTTTATTTCGTTCTTGTTATTGTAATTATTACTGTTTGATAATTCTTTCGTTGTTATTAAGTTTTGACTGTTATTTCTTTTATTGTTATTAAATTTTGACTCATTTGATTTGTTTTGTTTGTATTTATAAACACTATGGCCGAAGCTGAGACCATTAAAAGAATAGTCCGCAGTCAAGCGCGAGAGTTTGTCGGATGCCTACTAGTTTACGGTGAAAGAGAGTATCAGAATGGTGTTCCATTGTTGTCACTTTCACAAGTGACTTACCGAGTAAGTGCAGCTCTTGGTATCAGTCAAAAAACTGTTTCCCGAATAAGTAAGGAAAAACAAGGTAAAGATTTATCAGAATATAAAAAATTAAAATCGCCCCTTAAGAGAAAAGATGACCGGTAGTTACACATATCGACAATTTTGATAACGCCGCCATTAGAAACCATATCATCTATGGGGGAATCCATCATTTTATCGCAATTCCTTTCAACGATTTTCATTACCCATAAAACGAATCGCAGAACTTTTTTTTCAATATTTAACAAACCCTAGAATTAGGCTACATCGCATATTCGTTTCCTCAAATAATGTAATACGCCTTCCACCCTACCATTGTCAATACAATGCCATGGAATTGATTTGGGCGCAAATTAAAGGTAAGAATTTAAACAAATCTTTTTTATAATTTATTTTTACCTATTTTAATATTTTATCTGTTGCTATATTAACACGCAAATCTTTATTTTAGGTAATGCGGCTCGTAAAATTACCAGCCCACCTTTTACTGCAAACAAAATTCTGTCATTGGTGAAAGAAGCTTGTGATAGTGTTACTGCCGCGAATTGGGAAAGTGCGGTATTACGAACAAAAAAATTGTTTTACGCTGATTGGGACAGATACATATATATCAATGGCGTCATAGTTAACCAAATTATAATAAATACAAGGGATTCTACAGACGATGATGAGGGTGATGACGACGATGCCGACCATGAAATATCGATTTCGGCTAGTGATGATGAATCAGTTCCATTTTGTTAAAAATAATATCATGTAATATTATCTAATTCGATTAAAAAAACAAAGTTTGATGCTAATCCTTTTTCTGTTAATACGATTTTAATTTGTTCGTAATAGTAATCGAAGATCAATATCATCGAGTATCGACTATAGCGGCACTTCACTAGTACTTGATTATTGACATCTCTCGAATGGGAATTTGTGATTGGAATAGAGTATAATTCATATATATTCAAATAATTTATGATGAAGTCAGTGTGTATGGCACACAAAATTTTATAAAATAGTCTATTTTACTCACGACACTTTGCGACGGGTATGCATTTGCCTGTCTTGCGGTCACGTTTTTTGTTAGGGCCACAGACGCATCTTCCTTTTTCACAGTTTTTCGGAATCGGACATTTCTGAGGCGAGTCTCTGCTCTGCGGACAATAATCTGCATCACACTTGACTGGAGGGCACTCCTTGTACACCTCTCCAACAGGACAAGTTGGAGCTGTAAAAATAGATAGGGTTCCAATTTATAAGGGGCGGTCTTTACTGATTACAATAATTGCATGGTTTGGTACTACTAACATTAACAACAGATTTCAAAAGCAATCGATCTCTAGTTCGCAAATTCGAATGGAATACAAAATTTATATATTTCCTCATGCAATAAAGTCTACTCTTAATTGATTACTACTAATGTAAGTAATTAGTTACTCATTGAATTTATTCATTCAGTTTGACACACAAACTGAGCATTTTTGCCGTACTTTATATATTACTTTTAGTTGATAGCAATAATAGTTGACTAATTTCCGAGTATTTCCGAAAGTCAAATTTTGATTTTTTTTTGGTTTGATAATTCAATTTGCTATACAAAATTGGGTATTTTTTTTCAGCAGATACAGTTTAATTTTAGATCAGGTTACGGATATGACGGATATGATTCGAATATGTAAAGTTGTAAGTTGTAATGAAATTTGAAACGGAAGGAATGAGGTAATGCAGTAAATTCTTATTTACTTACGTTTCTATTTCAAATTTGAATGATTTGCTAGGTTATTGAAATAATAAGAACGACTTCTACAATTGAATTATTAGAATAATGACAATGTTGAAAATCACTCATCTTTAATTCCAATCACATTTTTATATCACATTGGCCCTGATTTTATCATGATACTCTAAACTTAAAAATAGAGCAAGACAACGGTACACTATGGTCAAATTTAATTTTAGGTTTAGACTCATGTTAGAATCGGTTCCATTGTTGCGGTTGTTGTACAGTCACTCGATTAACATAAATATCACAACACACCGCCTAATCTTTTATTACCATACGTTGATATTGGCAGAAATACAGGGTGGTCCAACTAGTGACGTCAACAATTTTTTTTACATTCCTCGCACCTGGGGGTATCCGAAAATACCGCATGTATGTTCCGCGATTTTTCTTAGTTATCGAATTATATTTTTTTTGTGTATTATTAATGATTTCTGCCAGCGAGGTTTCTAAAATTCTTATCTTTTTTCGTAGCAGGTATTTTGCAGTCTTTTTTTTTGTGACATAATTGTCTGGAATGTTGTTTTAATAAAAAAATAACTTAGCTTTCTGCAATTAATTAGAGTTACTCAAAAAGGCTTGAAAGTTGGATCATTAGTTTTTAGTAGGATTTACTCAAACTTTCAACTTTAATAGAAAAATACAAAAGGGAGTTTCCATAGCTTCTGGCTAAAATTAAAAACTCCGCATGCACCTAAACTACCAAAAATCATAAAAAAATGTACTTAATCAGCCTATTTTTGTTGTAATTGGCTTTTGAAAGCGGATAGGCTAAAAATCATTCAAACACGATTAAAGCATTAGACATTATTTTATCTACTTTTTTCATAGTTATGGTAAATTTAACTTAAAAATGTAATTTCAAATTAAATTTAATTGAAATTCCTGTAAAATAACTTTAGCATGTGTAATTTTACAGTAATTTCGGTTTCACCGCTAAGATTTAAAATGCAAACAAGAATTGAGACAAAAACATACAGAAGCGGAAAGAAAAATAAAGCAAGAATATTCAAGTAGCTTCAGACAATTAAAAAAATACTTTTTAAGACATTATCAATTGTGTATTCAAGTTGCATTAATTTTCGCATAAACATACTATAACGTTGCATTAAGAACACCTTTTTTATAATTAATTTAATATTGATAAGGAATAAAAAGCTGCATAAAAGCATTTATATTTTGAAAGAAAACTACTGAATTATACTTGCAAGCTGACTTAATCTCTTAATCAATCCTTTCTATGCCTCGTGTATTTATGCATTGTATAAAATGTGTTTTGAAAAAAAATGCCGCAACTTAATATTTAAATATGTTTTAAACCCGCCATATTATTTTTGGACAGTATGTAGGTTACTACGCCTAAACAGTTTATATAAATAGTCACAGTTCAAATGCAATCACTTTATTACAAAAAAGTAAGCTAAAGTTTTGAACATGAAGACTTACTGTCTACACACTGATCCTGTGGTACGCATACACCGTTCTTCTTCAAATAATTCTCACGACAGACACAACTGCGGATGCAAGCTCCCGGCTTCAAATCCGGGCAAGGCACGGGCTTCCCTTTATCCTTGCAATCTTGCGCACGACATATTGCATTAGAGCAGTTTGAAAATACTTCGTTTGGTTTGCAGGCAAGCTCTGAAATAAAATAGCATAATTTTCTTACGGGTTTGTCTTGTTGTTTCTAAACTTGGTAAGTCTAAAATTAAATGTGCAAATAGAGAAAGTTGTGTTTGGGAAATTTCTAAATTCTAAATACCTTCGCACTTTTGAGGAGTGACACAATTTCCTTTGCTATCTTTGTAGTAGCCTTTCTTGCATTTACATGCTGGCTTGCAAGGTACAGAGATGCCCAAGCGGTGTTTAGCGCAAGGCGAGTTCTCCAAATAATCGTCGCATGTTTCTCGGGGGCACTGGGATTCCTGTGGGCACTTGTCGTAAACTTCATTCGGTTTGCTACATAGGAAAGGAGCTGAAATGCACAATTAAATATTTTAGTTTTTTGTCTGATTATCTTTAATCTAAGATACAAACCACTATGATAGAAAATGTTTTCATAAATTCCATTAAGTCAATTGAATCGTAAGATTGATACAGTAAAAATAAAAACAAACTGTTTTTTTTATTGTAAGTTTATTTATTTGTTGATTAGAAACATCTTTAATGAAAAATAAAGATACCTTTTTTAATTATTTAGAAATGATATTTATTAATATTTTGCCTTGTAACGTTGAGCAAATTAAATAACATTACATAAAATGGTGACATTGTTAATGGAACCATCGATGGTAATTATGGATAATGCACCGTATCATTCAGAACAAATAATTATGCCCCCAACTTCTACCAGAAAAAAGCCGATATTGTGAAATGGCTGAATGACAATAATATTGTCTAAATCTAAAGAAAATACAACTAGAAAAAAATCCACGCGGACCAGGCAGCAGATGGGACTCGAACCCGCACCCTTTGCAATCCGGGCGAATGCACTGACCAATTATGCTACAGCGGCCCTCACGGACCGCGTCGAAATTCCTCTAGCCATTCTTAAGCTGCAAGGCAGCGCCATCTCTTCGCATTATGGGTAACCCACAATTACAAATGAATACTTTTACAAATATTAAACATTTGAAAGAAGAAATAGCAATTATAGTTTAATAGCAATTATAGTAAAATAATTATAATCTAAAGAAAATACAACTTGAAAAAAAAAGGTGTTCGAGTCCCGTCTGCTGCCTGGTCCGCGTGGATTTTTTTCTAGTTGTATTTTCTTTAGATTTAAACATCTAGCAGTTACATGCTTTAAAAAAATAAAAATTATAACAATAATATTGTTGCTGACATGTCCCTGTTTAAAGTTGAGCTGCTGCATTTGCTTGCTATAAATAAGCCAGCTAGACCAAAATACTTATTGGGCGAAATGGCTAAGGAAGCCGGACACAATGTGATACGCCTTCCACCCTACCATTGTCAATACAATGCCATGGAATTAATTTGGGCGCAAATTAAAGGTAAGAATTTAAACAAATCCTTTTTATAATTTATTTTTACCAATTTTAAAAATTTATTTGTTGCTATATTAACACGCAAATCTTTATTTTAGGTAATGCAGCTCGTAAAAATACCGGCCCACCATTTACTGCAAACAAAATGCTGTCATTGTGTGTCGGCCGCGAATTGGGAAAATGCGGTTTTACAAAACATTAGGTTTTCGCTGATTGGGACAGAGACAAACATATCGATGCCTTCATAGATAACCAAATTATAATAAATACAAGGGATTCTACAGACGATGATGAGGGTAATAATGAACAAGTTCACTCTTATTTTTTTTATTATTTAAAAGCATGTAACTACTTGATGTTTAAATCTAAAGAAAATATAACTAGAAAAAATTCCACGCGGACCAGGCAGCAGACGGGACTCGAACCCTGCAAGTAGGGTGCGGGTTTTGCTTGTTGCTTAAGAATGGCTAGAAGAATTTCGACGCGGTCCGTGAGGGCCGTGGTAGCATAACTGGTCAGTGCATTCGCCCGGATTGCGAAGGGTGCGGGTTCGAGTCCCGTCTGCTGCCTGGTCCGGGTGGAATTTTTTCTAGTTATATTTTCTGAAGTTCAATCTTGTTAAAAATATAATGTAATATTACGTAATTAAATTAAAAAAAAATTATGTGATGCTTATCCTTTTTCTATAAATACGATTTTAATTTGTTCGTAATAATAATCGAAGATCAATATCATCGAGTATCGACTATCTGACAAATGGGAATTTATAATTGCAATAGAGTGTAATTCATATTTATTTAAATAATTTATAATGAAGTAACTGTGTATGGCACACAAAATTTCATAAAATAGTCTAATGATTTCTAATAAATACTCACGACACTTTGCGACGGGTATGCATTTGCCAGTCTTGCGGTCACGTTTTTTGTTAGGGCCACAGACGCATCTTCCTTTTGCACATTTTTTCGGAATCGGACATTTTAGAGGCGAGTCGCTGCTCCGCGGACAATAATCTGCATCACACTCGACTGGAGGGCACTCCTTGTAAACCTCTCCAACAGGACAAGTTGAAGCTATAAAAATAGATATTTATAACGTTGAATTCCAATTTAAGAGGGGCGATCGTTATTGATTACAATAATCGAATGGTTTGGTACTACTAATATAAACAATAGATTTTTCATGCAATAAAGTCTATTCTTAATTGATTCCTACGTATATAAGTAATTAGTTACTCATTTGATTTATTCATTCAGTTTGCCACCCAAATTGATAATGTTTGTCGTACTTTATTATATTACTTTTAGTTGGTAGCAATAATAGTTGACTAATTTCTGAATACTTCGGAATTTTTTTTTTGGTTTGATAATTCAATTTGCCACACAAAATTACCTATTTTTTTCAGTAGATATGGTTTAATTTGAGATCAGGTTGCGAATATGACGGATATGATTCGAATATGTAAACTTGTAAGTTGTAATGAAATTTGGAACGGAAGGAATGAGGCAATGCAGTACTTTCTTATTTACTTATGTTTCTATCTCAAATTTCAATGATTTATTAGGTAAGTTAGGTTAGGAATCCACGTATTTATTATAAGGGCGTGAAGAAGCATTTTTGCAGGCCGGCAAGGTGAGGATGGTTGGTGTAGCAGTTTATAACTGCTGTGCTAGTATCGTCGCATTTGGACTTTATTACCACTTAATTAACATCAGGTGGGATAGAGCCATTTGCCTACCTGGCTAAAATTAAATTTAATTGAAAAGAAGCTCTTTCCCTGCCTGATGCTAAGTGACTATCACAACATAAAAAATATTATATTTAATGTATGTAAAATAATGAATAAACAATTAATAAACAAAGTAATAATAGGAAGTATTCATAATTTCACTAATCAATTTCATCAACAAAATATACTTACAGCACTGTTCAGGCTTAACGCATTTTTTGGTATTACCATCATAGTAATAGTTTGGTCTACAACTGCAGGCATTCAGTATGCAATAAAGTGGACAGATCCGGGTGACATTGCTGCGTAGGTCAGCACATGTACGTCCACAATGATTACCGCAACCAAGTACCGCATTTTCGTCACCTCCGCAAGATGCTATAAAACGAGAAATTAAAATAATTTCATCATATTTTAATGTGACAATTGTATCTATTTCAGAAAAACTTTCAAACGGCTTCCTTTGAAAATTCAGGGAAGAGTCCGTGTTTTCTACAAGATCATTAATAGTTAACAACAAATGCATTCTAAGTCATCTGCAGTTTGAAGTTTTATTCTTTACTTTTATCATAGGATTTCTATAAATGATAGTAATTTTCTCACCAAATAACACAATTTATTAAGTTCCCTAAGTTCAGAACCTTATCTATCATAAAAATAAAAAAATGCTCACGGCATTCGTTTGAATCTACGCATTTTCCATCCTTGTTCCTAAGTTTTCCGTCTTTGCAAATGCACCCAGGTTTGCCAGGACACGAAGAGCTGTTCCCACAATTAGGATTTGGGAAGCCTGCCTTGTCACAAGTCAAAGGACTGCAGGATGCGTCAGGACATTCAGAATATTCTTCGCCGTCTGGGCAGGCATCATCTGCGAATAAATTACAATTGAATATTATTATTGCTTTAAACAAAAAATAGCAGCCAAACGTTCTGTTTTATTAAATATTATTGCCTTACCTTTACATTGACTACCACTAACACAATTGCCTTTCTTATTTCGGTAAGTGTCTTTCTTGCATATGCATGCTGGATGACAAACAGTTGTATTGTTCCCACTATTGTCACTGGGACAAGTTGAGTTTTTCAAATAATCAGTACATAATTGTCCGGGGCCCGGAGATGGGCAACTTGCGTAGACTTCATTAGGTTTTGGACATACGGCTAGAAAAGAGTGATTATTTAGCTGTAATTCAATTCAGAGAGGAGCTCGATGGCGCAGGTGGTTAGCGCGTTCGGCTGCGATAGTTGAAGTTAAGCAACTTTCGCAGTGGTCGGTCATTGGATGGGTGACCAAAAGTTTACTATCTCGAGCTCCTCCGTGCTTCGGAAGGCACGTTAAGCCGTTGGTCCCGGCTGCATCTGCAGTCGTTAGCACCCACCAATCCGCATTGGGCCCGCGTGGTGGGTCAAGGCCCAATCTCCCTATTCCATCCATAGGGAAGGCCTGTGCCCCAGCAGTGGGGACATTAATAGGCTAATGATGATGATGATGAATTCAATTCAGATATACAGTGTTCTTTATCATCGTTTAATAATAAATAAATAATAATAACACTACACCGCTCATTGGCGTCAGTAACCCTAGCCCCAAAGTAAGCACTGTAAGGTTTGTTTTAAGGGATACTATAATAACGAATATAATACATATAAACAACCTTGACTTAGGTACAAATTCTCGTATTCATCATACAACATTTGCCCCGCTGGAATTAAAACCTGGGACCTCTTGGTAGGCGACACTTTGAAACTCGGCGTGTGCCACTAGTGCTAATGATATAAAAACAAAATCATAGTCAAATATGGGTATGTTGTAGAAAACTGCAATTTTAGTTAATAAAACAGGTATACAAGACTTTATGTTTGTCTTTTTAGTGCTTTATGCACCAGATAATTGAATTGCCAAATAAATTAAAGTGGTGGTCATAACTTCAAATTTAAGACGATCTTTTTATTACTTCCTTCACAATAAAAAAATAATATTCAGAGTAAGTAATAAGAAAGAGATAATGTACATTTGTAATAAACGATATTACGAAAAAAAAATGATTCTGAAAAAACAACACTTACATGATGATGGACAATCTTCCGCTTTAACGCACTTTTTGGAGACACCGTTGTAGTAATAACCCTTCTTACAATCACATCCGTTGTTAAAACAAATTTTAGGACACATAAGTTTCGGGATGACCACGTCAGAGCACTTCTTTCCGCAATTTGTAGCGCATCCAGGTTCTGCGTTTATGTCACCGCCACAACTCGCTAGAATAAAGGGTTAATTTAAAAAGTTTCACTAACCGACTAGGCAGGATCTGAACAGATAGATCGATCTCACTAAAAATCAAGTTTGGCCTGGTGAGAACTCTGATGTTCTCCATATCCACCTACGGTGCGGAAACATGAACCCTTAAAAAAGGCAGATCGATCTCGTATTGACGCATTTGAGATGTGGTGTTGGAGGAGAATGTTACGAGTTCCGTGGACAGCTGACCAGTACAAATGCGTCAATTCATAAAGAAGTGGGAGTCACCGTTAGGAAAACCACAGCTTGTTTGCGTAGGATCCTCGAATTAATGAATAAAAAAAAGAGAGAGTCACAATATGAAGAGAGAAGAAAGGCCAATCAGCACCCTGCCTCAGCTTAATGCTGTTATAGTAGGAATGGAAATATTCCCACCATAACAGCGCTGGTATTCTGGCAGAGCCTGTACGAGATTGCTAGAGACAAAAATATAAATTATATAATAGTGTAAATATATATATATATATATATAATGGTATGCATAAACTGAGTTACATAAATAATTAAAGTTTACAAAATTGAAAATTAATAATATTAAGGCCGCAAGTGCTACTCATGCGCCCACACAGTGAGAGCCGCATCCGGATAAAAACTAAACGCAACCCCAGCGGCCAGCCTGGCAGTGACCCTGACAATTAATGAAAGATAACCTGTCTGTGATGCCACGTATCACTTGCATATCATAAACACGTTTTCATTTGCCACGCCACACAGTGCCACTTACGAACCACGAAAGAAAGTGCATTAGGCAACGATATTAAATAACCTAGATACACCAACACGAACAAAACCTGTCCGAAACCTGTCCAAAAGGTACGTTGTACGATTCACGTCGCTCCGTAAGATGATCGGGTAGTCAAAACAATATAAGACATTATTTAAACATTGAAAGTCATGTTATTCTGACGAAGCAGACCTGAAAAGGCTGTGAAACGTCAATAAATAAATAAAGTTTCGTGCATTAACCCGTTTTAAAACTAGATTTATTTAATGAGTGATGTGCGTGAAAACATAAGAAACAAATAACCTAAGAAACAAATATTGATAGTCACCTTTGATACATACCGTATAATTAAAACGCATGCGTCAAAGAGTTATGACCGTTTGAAATGCATGCTAGTAAAATTATACGACTTATTGCTATATACGTAAGAATAAAGTCCTTATTTCTTTGACTCTACACGCAATTCTGAATGCGCTGTTAGCAATATCGCAGGTAGGGTAGGGACTGCGAAGAAAAGAGACGGCTATATTACCGACTATGCATTTGAATATCACATATATTTTCTATTAAATCAGTTTATAGTAAGTAGTAGAACAAAATTTGCTAAGAATGGTTAAATAAACAAGCATTTTAAATGCCTGTCTAAAAAACGACACTTTACATACTATAAGTATTTTTTTCGTATTTTTTACGGAGCTCCTTGGCAACTTGACTTTAAAACGGTCCGCGCGTGACTGTGAACCAAGAAGTGCTTGAGTGGGTGTTCAAGCACTTTTTGATTGGGACATATTTTGAACGCAAGTGGTGTATCTATGGTATTTAATATCGTTGGCATTAGGTGTAAAATATATTAGGAAGTCTCCAAAATATCGGATGCGTTATTGCGATATTTCACATACTTATATTGCATCGTTATTATTGCATCAGTGTGTTACTTCTAGCCGCTCTCATATGCGAGTATAATGCACTAAAATATCAATCAGCATCCATGTCGTTTCAGCTGAGGGAATAAGGAAGAGCTGGAGACAAATAAATGTTTATCTACCATCGTATAATAGACAGCCATTAGGAAAGTTCCTTAATATCTACGCTCATAGATAAAATGCACTAGCTATCGATTTCTCATACCTATAGATAATGGACAACTGCAAATCAGCAAATATATTTTAATAAAACTCTCTTTAAAATGAATGTAAATTTATTTACGCAAAAGAATACTTACGGCATTCTTTTCGAGATACACATTTTCCTGCCTTATTCTTCACGTTACCATATTTGCAAACGCATCTAGGTTTGCATGAATGTAAAGAACTATTTCCACAATTGGATTTTGGATAACCAACTTCATCACATGTCAAGGGTTTACAGGATGCCTCCGGACAATCTAAGTATTCTTCACCGGCCGGGCAGGATGGAACTTTAAACAATGTAAAAAATCATTGTAGTCCACTAAACTTGTGATTCTAAAGTTTTAGTAAAATCAGGAACAGTGTACATAGAAATATAATGAGAATATTATTTAGAAGGGTACTATGCTCTGACGCAATAATTGAAGGGAGAGGAATGGACAAAAATGTCCCTTTTGCATGTATAAGAAAGTATTGAAAATCTGTCTCGCGATGCAGGTTCCCAGCACCATCGAGGTTTTTCCCCTCATCTTTACAATCTTGGACCGGAAAAAGTCCGTTCGAGCAGGGAAAAAAACCTCGGTTTCTCTGCACGTTGGCGCTTAAATACCACACAATCTGTCTTTGTTTTCTAAAATCAATGTTTTCTTTTTCTAGGATACATTCTTGGTAGCGAAATTCAGTGAAAAAATTAAAAAAAAAATACATTCTAACAACTTGTGACAGCGCTTATATGCAAACAATAGGAAAAGGCACCTCATGAAACACTTACTGCATTTCTCTGCTGTGACGCATTTTTTGATTTTGGTATCATAGTAGTAGTTTGGTTTACATTCACATCCATTTATTATATACACTTCTGGGCAAGCCGTCACATTCTTGCCTACATCAGCACAAGTGCGCCCACAGTTGCCACGGTTGCTAGGAATTGCATTCTCGTCACCTCCACATGATGCTAAAAGAGATTTCATGATGTTAATTGGCACTGTTGTTTAAGTAATTTACAGAAATTAATAAAAAATGTGTTAGCGCGGTAAATCCGTAAATCAGTACTTAGCTGTATAAAGTATCCATTTTAAGGTTCCATTTTAAGTAAGTTCTAAGAGTATGATCGAGCTAAGCTACGGACAGAGGACATAGAAACAGTGCGAAACAATAAGGGTTCCTTAATAACTTCAGAACCTTAAAAAGGAATAAAGATTGTAAATTTACTAAGAATCTTCTTTATTGTTTTATGCTATAATTTTTTTATGTAGATTGGATACTTGAAGGGGTTTATACTTACGACACTGATTTGAAGGAATGCATTTTCCAGTCGAATTTCTTAGATAGGAGTCTTGGCATATGCAACTTGCGTTGCTCGAGCAGGGGGAGCTATTGCCACAGCTCTTTTTTGGATAACCAGCTTCAGCACATGTTAGAGGGCCGCATATTGCAGCTGGGCAAGCTGAGTATACTTCGCCTTTTGGACATGTAGCTATAAAGAAATATTAAAAAAATAGATTAGATATTCAAGAATGGATATTTCTTTTCAATAAGGGGTCACGATTGTTAATCTTTGATCCTTACTTAACACGTTAAAATAAATTTCGCCCGTGCAATGCTGGGGCGGATCACTAGGATAATATAATATAATAGATGAGAAAGTGAGTTTCTTTGTCATGCTTCCGCGTCCTAATAGCTAAATCGATTATGATGAATTTCCCTATAGAAATAGATGGGACCTTGGTACTAAGCAACATTATCGAAATACTTATAGGGGTGAAGGGAAGTGGAAGAAGTGATTTACCTTTAAAACTTTATATTATTTGCTTCAAATTTTGCAGAATTATCGTTAACTAGTGGTACGCAATCGTTTCGCTTCCTTGTAGAGTTGTAATCTACAGTTTTTGTTCAAAGGCTTATATTATACACAATGACTTTCTTCATAATAATTTTAATCCTTCCATTCCAAGTAAAAACAAATGTTGATAAGTTTAGGACCCATTCTACGGAATCATTGCTCTGCTGTTCCGATTTGAAAAAATATTTTTGTATTGAATAGTGCATTTATCGAGGAAGGCTAAGCTTTATAACATCAGGCTACGATCAGTAGCAGTGCAGCATCGATGAAAAATGTTGCATAAGCGGGTGAAAATATTCCATTTGTGGGATTCCGTTGCGTGCGCTGGGTAAATGGTAAAAGTTACACAAACATCATGTATACCGGAATTGTTTCCGTTTGAAAGTTCTGTAAAAAAGTCCGCGACAGCATATTATGTCCATATTTTTGACGACGACCTCCGTGGCCGAGTGGTTTGTACGCCAGGTTTCATGGTGTCGCCGACTCGAGAGGTTCCGGGTTCGAATCCCGGTGGGGGCAGATGTTTGTGTGATGAATACGAGCATTTGTACTCCAGTCATGGATGTTTAATATGTATTTCTATATAAATTATACTTATTTATATACAGTATATGTATTCTATCCGTTACCCTAGCATCCCATAACACAAGCCTTACAGTGCTTACTTTGGGGCTAGGCTAATTGGTGTGAGTGTTGGAAATATTTATTTATTTTAAGTTTGACTCACTATAACCTTTTTCTTCAAATTAACGCGGGTTAAACCGCAGGGGACCTCTAATTATGACACACGTAACTGTTATAGTTAGATATAATATAATATCGCGGACTTTTTGATATTTACGTCCTCTGTGAAACTTTAGTGCATCACTTTGCTCTATTGTCAATGACTTCAGCAGCGTACGCGACATAAGGTTATTTTTTAGTATTTTTCACACACGTTGGGTTAAATTATCGAAATTTTCATACGGAACCCTAACTTCTTTTAAATACTCTATAACTTATGTTCATCGCGTATAATAAAGGATTAAATGTGAAAGACTTTTTCGAATCGGTGCAGTAGTTTTGGAGCCTATTCAGTACAAACAAACAATTAAATCTTTCCTCTTTATAATATAATATTAGTATAGACTATAGATAATTACAAAACCAACATTATCACGTAACTACCTACTAGCGAAAAATACGATATTTCTCATTATGTTAATTTTGTGTACCATGAAGTAATATCGTTAAAATAAACTTTAGAAACAGTATAATTCTGAGTTTTTCATTAAATTTCAATAATCATAAATACCTATTAGGATAATTTATTGTTCGTCATTTCATAAGAAGGAACTGTATTACAGTTTTATTGTAAGTACTTCGTATAGGATAAGATACTGCGAGTAGCCCATTTTTTTCTTTTCCTACTAGGTTTTATCTACGTTTATAAACACCAAAATTCATCAAAAAAAATCTCTCTTCTTTCCCGCAGTCTACTCCTGTATAGTACTCCGCGCTATCACTTTGTCATCGTTGTAAATTTTTAAATATTTGTCGAAATGACATAGTGTAAAAGGCAATGTAAATCCCGATAAAAGTACATATTTTGATAAAAAAAATATTTTTAATACAAAATGTAAAATTTAGAAATGGATATCAAATAATATTTTATTTTTGATTCACTATTTTAGTAAAAATGGCTTACACATTAAAAATTGATGTTTACTGTTTGGGACTTTTTTGTAGAACTATTTACGACATAAATTTTGACTATACAGTATATTCATTGTTTTTGCAAGTACAGGCCAAAATGGCTCGCAGATGGTAGATTTTTTGCTGTCTTACGTAACGCTTCTTGTTATATTTTGGCCAATTCACTAAATATCTATACTTAGTATCTAAATGTTATTATTATGTATGAGCTATTTTATTGTTACGTTTCATTTAAATCCATTGAGCAGTTTTGACTGAAAGACTAACAAAGATCCATACAAACGTTAGATTGAAATTAAAAACGCAAGTGGTCGATATACAACTTTAAATCGTTTGAGATCTTAATTAGTCATATAAAATTAAAAATGGTGTAAGGAACCTAAACATAATTTTCGATTATCTAGACTATGATACTCTAATCGATATATTTTTTTAACTTATTTTTTTTTATTCGTCACAATATGGCACCTAATTGTTCCCATATTTAATTTTGATTACTATCATACCTTTATTAACACTCCCATGATTAATAGACCAGGGTCGATAATTTAGAAAGACCAAAAAAAATTATAGTAGGATGAAACCCATTGGAAAACGTAGAGAATATAACAAAAATGAAAGGAAATGAATTACGGGCGATCTGAGGTCGGATAGGGGGAGGGGGTGAGTTTTTAAGGGTAAAAAATCGTTAATCTCGATTTCCGGTAAAACTACAAGTCCTATGAAAAAAGTTAAATGGCAAAGTTGTAGAGAATAAAAAAATCTACAACTTTTGTATTGACACTTTTTTCACGTAACCTCAATTTTTTTTCGAAAAATTTGAATAACCGAGTTTTTGGTTTTTTATTTTTAATTTTTGCAAGAAAATATTTTTTTTCAAAAATATTGAAATGAAAAAAAATAGTGAAAACTTACCTTTGTGTGTCTTAAACATGCAGTATTTTTTTTTATTTAAAATAATAATTTTTTCACCTTATTTTGACTTAATATCGAAAAAGCACCCTAATTTTCAATCGAAAATTGTCACGTCAAAATATCTGATTTTTTAAAAAAGTTGGTGTGTCTTTTGTTTCTTGAAATCTGTACTTTCTGATGGTATAAAAAAATATACACTGCTATGGTAAATGTTCTCAGAAACTGCAAATTAATAATGAAAAAAACTCGAATCCGAAAATTTTTTTTGAATCATTATGTATAATTTTGAACTACCTATTTATTAAAATTTACACTTTAATTACTCGAAAAACGTAAGATTTCATGTTATATTGATAAACAAAATTCCTGAATTATATTTAATATTATAGTGAAAGTAAGTATTATTAAGTGTTATGGTCAATAGGACATTAGTTTTTTAAATGTTGGCAATAAGCGAACAGTTTCAGAATCTTTTATCTTAGAATAAATCTTATACCCCCTTATTAATAAACAAGGTATTAGCTTAGACTAGTTACACCATGTTTAGTTCATGTCACTCAAAGTTTTAGTTTTTTTTTATGAGAGTTGAGACATATCGTTTAAATGCCAAGTAGCGAACATACCAAGTCAATAAAAAATACATAAAAAATTAAAAAAAAAACTTACAGGTGCACTCTTCTGGTTTAACACATTTCTTTAAATTGCTGTCATAGTAAAACCCGTTCTTGCAGTTGCATCCATTTAATTGACAACCTATACCGCATACACGATTAGGATTGACTAAATCTGAACACTTCTTTTTACAATTGGTGCCGCATCCCAACATTGCATTCTTGTCACCGCCGCAAGACGCTAGAAAATGGAAAAAACATATTATGAGGAAGTTATAGTAAATTACGGCACTTCAGCATGAGTGGAAAAGCTGCTTGTCAAGATATCTGTCGCACTAATTACCCTTACCTGACCAAACTGAATCATAATTAAAATAAAAAAAAACTATTATTCAGTCTAGGCTGTTACGAGTACTCGTAAAGGTCGAAAAGCTACGCCATCGCTTCGCAAAACGACAACGTGAGATATTATACTGAGAAGAACAAGCAAGAAACAAGAAACTCAGCAAGTGCTGTTTTATTCTACCTGTATAGGTATTATATACAGAGTCGTCAAGTTAAAAAATGACTTCAGAGCTAATTCTGAAGTCACCTTCCTTTCCATTACATAAATTAAAATATAGATATATACAATAACTTTGATCTAAATCAAAAACCATTGATTCAGACTAGACTGTTACGTGCACTTGTGAAGGCTGGGAAGCTACGCCATCGGTTCGCAAAACTACGGCGGGAGACCTTGTACTAAGAAGAACCAACAAGAAACTCAGCAAGGACTCTTTTTATTTCCCTGTATTATTATATACAGAGTTGAACAATGACTTCAGAAACACTTCTGAAGTTACATTACATTCCTACATTATTTAGAATATAGATATTTTTAGCAAAACAAACTACAACGGCTAACTAGAGCAGAGGTCCGAGTCTCAGAGACGCCCTCTAGTAGAGCCGACCCCTTCAGGTTCGAGTGGCTTAGAGGCTACAGACGGAGAGAAGACCCGTGGGGTGATGCCATCCGTCTGGAACACCTCTAGAGGCATTCGCCAATTCTCGGCTTGAGGTCCCCTTAGGATCTCGCCGTCCCCAAACCCGCTGACGCTGTAAAGGCCATCTACGACTAATAGCATACACACAAAAAAAAACAGTCACTTTGCATCGAGCTGTCTTGATACGTGGAAACTCTGTTCGTTCGTACAGCGAATATATCGCTGGTAGCATTATTGTCGGGTGTCGTTACTATTTTCGTATGAGTAATGGTTATTTTGTGTTATTAAAACCTAATACTTTCAGTGAGATATTTAGTGGTGAGAATTAATAAGTGTAAAGATTTCATTAAAATTTTACTGCTCCATACATGTATAAATAGTAAATGGCTGTTGTCTAAAATCACTGTTATTTTTTAGCCGTTTCTACTTCTGATTGCTAAAAAAATTATACACAAGAAGCACTCTGTCCGTATATATAGTTATAATATATTTTACAATTGCATCTGGAATCAAATACTTTACGTGCCTATCCGAAGCACGCACTCTTAACTTCTACTTTGGCATACCGGAGGTTCTAAGGTCACATGGCCCTTGTTTGTAAATTCAATGTTTGCCTGTTAAAAAAAATATTTTTTTAAAGATTAATACATCTTTTTTAGTTAGCTGATAAAAAGGTATCTATATTCACCAAAGACCAGCTTTAATCAAACTCTATGTTTTTAATTGGTTGTATCGTGTGATTAAAGCAAACTTTTTGTTTTGATATTTATCTACGATTCGTTAGGTTCAATCGAGTTCGTTTATACAGAATTGTCTAATTTTCATACAAACATTCATTCACAATTATAAAACCTATAGTTTGCAACAAAAAATAGCTTTTGTGCTTTTCCGAAGTCTATACTAAAATTTGCCAAATAGATTTTGTGATCCAAGTGTGTAGTTTAATAGCCAAATTGACAAACAGGCAGACGGAGAAAGAGACAGAGTTAGTTTCACATTTACATATAATATAGAAATATTACTCACGGCATTGGTCTGGTGAAACACATTCTCCGTCTTTATTTCTGAGTTTGCCATCTTTACAAAGGCACCCTGGCTCACATATAGCCTTATCGCCACAGATGGTCTTCGGGAAACCTGTTTCATCACATGTTATAGGACCACATATTGCTTGAGGACAGTCTGAGTACTCTTCGCCTTCGGGACAGTTTTCTAGAAATATTAAATAAGAAATATCTAGATAATCTTATATTATATTTGACGAAATCACAATGGTCATAAATACACTTGATCGCTCAGGAATGTAAGTAACCGAAATAATTTTGTGTTATGTCAATGAGACCAAAAAGCTACATTTACCGCCTAGACTTGCGACAATATAGAAAACTCATCTGTGCGGTAATATTCATATAATTCGTTTTTTTAGGAAAAACGTTGCCAATCTAAAATTTAAGTCTCCCTAAGGCAATCAATTTTGTCGATAGTACAGTTTTAAAGACATGCATATTTTATATAACTTACTTTTACAAGAGCATTCTGTATCATTATTGCCGTCTTCATAATCTGGAAGGAAAGCACAACAATTATTATATCTATAAACAAAACAGTTGTGTACCGCCAAACAATACATTATGTACCTATAATAATACTTATATCTATTCTGATTCATAAAATTTCAAGGCAAATAGAAGTTAAAAAATAGAATAGGACAAATCTTAAAAGCTACCTAACGGGTCTAGAGTATTTGTATGTGTTAAAATATTGTAATATTTATGTACCTATCTACAATGTTAAACTACGGTTTTACATCTTCATCAATCATCATCAACAGCCACTGCGATCGATCATAGTCCACTGCTGGACATAGGCCTCTCCAAATGCACGCCACTCAGATCGATGTTGGGCTACTCGCATCCAGCTCCTGCCAGCCACCTTGCGCAAATCGTCACTCGATCGTGTCTGAGGACGTCCTACACTACGTTTGCCTAGACGCGGTCTCCACTCCAGAACTCGTCTACCACAACGGTTATCGGTTCTTCGGCAAATATGGCCAGCCCACTGCCACTTCAACTTGCTAATCCGGTGGGCTATGTCGATAACTCTGGTTCTCTGTCGGATTACCTCATTTCTGATGCGATCTTTCAGAGAAACGCCGAGCATAGCCCTTTCCATAGCGCGCTGAGCGACTTTGACCCTGTGGACCAGCCGTGCCCTCAGTGTCCACGTCTCAGCTCCGTATGTCATCACAGGTAGGACGCACTGATTGAAGACTTTCGTCTTTAGGCACTGTGGGATCGACGATGTCAGGACTTGACGTAGCTTCCCAAACGCTGCCCAACCCAGCTGAACTCTATTCACCTCGTCCTCAAAGTTGTTTCTACCTAACTGCAATGTTTGCCCGAGGTATACATATTTTTGGACAACTTCGAGAACGGCACCGTGTATTGCAATCGGTTCCGGTAGAAAATGTTCATTGAACATGACCTTGGTTTTATCCAAGTTCATCCGTAGGCCGATGCGTATAGAAGAGTCAGCCAGGTCATTCAGCATCTGTTGTAGGTCCTGCAGGGTTTCTGCCATGATGACCATGTCGTCTGCAAATCGCAAGTGAGAGATGCATTCGCCATTTATTTTGATACCATATCCTTTCCAGTTCAGCGTCTTGAACATTATCCTCTATTGCATTAGTGAACAATTTCGGGGAAATAACGTCCCCTTGTCTCACTCCACGATGCAACGGTATGGGACTTGTTTGCTGATTCTGTACTTGGACAGACATGGTGGCGGTTTCGTAGAGACATCTTATCACTTGGATGTATCGCCAGTCGACTTGGCAACGCTGCAGGGACTCCAGGACAGACCAGATTTCAATCGAGTCAAAGGCCTTCTCATAGTCCACAAATGCTAGGCACAGGGGCTGATTGCACTCCTTAGTCTTCTGTATAATCTGCCGCACTGTGTGGATGTGGCCTATGGTGCCGTATCCGCTCCGAAACCCAGCCTGTTCCGGTGGTTGGAAGTCATCAAATTTTCGCGCAAGACGGTTCGCGATCACTCTTGAGAATTAGAGGTTAGCTTATAGACGTGGCTTAGAAGGGATATGGGTCGATAGTTCTTAAGTAGGGTCTTGTCCCCCTTTTAAAAGAACAAGACGACCATACTCCTACTCCACGCCTCCGGAGTTCTCCCTTCGAACAGGACAGTGTTAAAAAGCTTTTGGAGCTCCCTCCGTATTGAGGGAGCTTTACCTCCAGCTTTCAAGAGTTCTGTTGTAACACCATCCTCTCCAGGGGCTTTTCCATTTTTAAGCTGTCCAAGAGCAGTCTCGATTTCGCCAATACTGACTTCTGGCAGGTCTTCGGTAAAGTGGCGTGTTAATGTGGCTCTAGAATCCTCATTTCCGGGATCGGGTCGAGATGCATGTGATGCGTATAACTGGCTGTAGAAGTCTTCTACTTCCGAAAGGACTGCCGGCTTTGAAGCAACAACTTCCCCACTTGCTGTGGTCAACTTCGTCAGATGGCTTCTTACAAGAGATTGTACGAACACTTTGGACCCTCGATTCTACTCGATCGCTCTCTCGATCGAGAGAGTATTGGAGCATCGGAGATCGTGTCGTACGTGCTTACTGATCTCTTGGTTTAGAGTCCGCTTTGCCGACCAAGTGACGGGTGGGTTTTCACGTCGTTCCTTTATTAGCCCTAAAGTCTCTTCCGAAAGCTTTGACTTCCTGCCCTTACGCTGCGTTGCACATAGTCTCGTACCCTCTTCCCTGAGAATCCGAACCACATTTTCGAGGTTTTGGTTTACGTCTGATGTGGTTTCCACGGCAGTAAATCGGTTCTCCAGATTTGACTGGAACGTTTCAGATCCTGTTGTAGATTGGAGCAAAGTAGGTTGTAGCCTAGATCTCATCAAACGGACGGGCTCGGCCTTAAAGTTGATATTCAGAGAGCCCCGGACGAGTCGGTGATCACTACCGGTATTGAACCTGTTGATCACGGAGACGTCTCTGAATATGTACCTCTTGTCAGTCATGATGAAATCGATCTCATTTTTAGTCATAGTGTCGGGGTTTTGCCATGTCCACTTCCTTTGGGGCTGTTTCTTGAAAAAAGAGTTCATCAGGAAGAGCCCCTGCTGTTCGAGGAAGTTGACGAGCATTTGCCCCCTATGATTTCTGCTTCCAAATCCATGGAATCCTACTACCGATTCGCTGCAATTCTGTACTCCCACTTTAGCGTTGAAGTCCCCCATAACAACGTTGTTGGTCTTGGTAGTGGAGTGGAGGGCCCTCGATATATCATCGAACATATCCTCCACTGCGTCGTCCGAGTGTGTCGAGGTCGGTGCGTACACTTGCACCACCTTGAGGCTATACCTCTCGGTGAGCTTTATAATAAGGTACACTACCCTGTTCGACACGCTGGACATTTCCACAACGTTATCGGCAAGGGACTTATTTACAAAAAAACCCAACGCCACCTTGGGACTGTTGGTCTCCCCCGCGGAAGTACATTAGGTGGCCCCATTAGAGGGTTATGGTGTCCTCCCCCTCTATTCGGACTTCACTTAACCCTAAAATGTGCCACCTAATCTTTCCAAGTTCTACCTCGAGTTGCGCCAGATGCGAGTCAAGTCGTAGCGTGCGTCCATTGTACGTCGCCAGGGTATTTTGTGGTGGCCTCCCGCAGCCCAAAGATTCTTGGCACCCCCTGCCCCACCGTTACCGTGGTCGCCACCGTGACCAGGAATAGCGGGGCTGCCGGGAACTGGGGGCCGTGGCTTGTGTTTCATGTGCATGAAGGTTTAGCCCATAATCGCCACGCTGGGCGGGCGGGTTGGCGATCGCAGAGCGTAGGTTTATTTACTGAGGACGCTGCTGCCCGTCACCAGTGAGATTTTCCTCCCCTACGTCGTTGGATGGTTATACCGCCATCGGTCGGTTTGCCAGAGCCTCGTCTGTTGGTCAACAGGGTGCACCACGTGAAGGTGAGGTTGGCTTGGGTTCTTGCAGGTATATTTAGAACCCCTTACACCCTATATTTTATAATAATAATAATGTTTATTGACATTATACTTTTTACAATTTATGTTTGATTTCCCTGTATTGCAAAATAGGCCTTAGCCTGTAGTATGGAATCCAGTGTCCTCCCCAATCATGTACTTAAAATATTATCTTAGCATTTGTACTGGACATTACAAAACATTACTATTTTTCTTGACAGTATAAATAAATAGAAAAAATAACTAAATTATATATTTACTAGCTGACCCAGCGAACTTCGTACCGCTATAAAAAAATAGGGGTTGTCCAGCGGACAAAATTGTGAATCTAAACCATTCTCAGATCCCCTTGAACACACACAAAAAATTTCATCAAAATCGGTCCAGTCGTTTAAGAGAAGTTCAGTGACATACACACTCACAGAAGAATTATATATATAAAGATGTGTGTATAGTGTGTGGGTGTAGGTGTGCTGTTGTTTGTGTGTGTGTCTATGTGTGCGCCTGGGTGTTGCGTGTGTATGTAGGTTCGTCTTGTCTTGAACCACATAAATATCAAGTAATAAATTATAACCACTGTGCTATACTACCTATATCCCGGTATTGTCAACTAGTAGATCCTCCACACCATCATAATCTATGTCGAACAGCCAATCAATAATAATTTTCATTAAGCCAAAATTAGTACACTTTTTTATCGTTTTAATGTTATTCAATTTGTTGTATAGTCGTGGTGCCTTATATGTATATTGACAACGTACAAATTGACTTTTGACTGAGAGGATATGAAACCGATCCCTTCTAGTAAAATAATTAGGTAGCTGTGGGATAACATAACGGTGGTCTCTGCCAATACATTCATAAATATAAAGTTTTCTAACAGATATTACTTTAAATAATTTGTAAATGTCTGTTGTAGGATGTCTGTAAGAGAGAAACATGACTACTTTTTAAATTGATCGCTGTGTTCGTTCTGCCATAATTAGGTGAGTTTTTGCTGCACCACCTCACGCTTGTATGCAATATCTAATTATACTCTCACACAAGGCATGATAAATTTGTTTTAGGAGCTGCAGATTGGCAACGTTCCTAAGATTTTTGAATACGTTAATAAGTTTTCTTATCCTTAGTTTTAGTAATTTAATATGATGTAACCAACTCAATCTGTCGTCAATAACTACTCCCAAGTACTTAATATTGTTAACTTTAGACAGGTAAAGACACCTCTATTACATGAATAAGTATGAATTCTTAGTTTATGGTCGTTATTAGGCCTATCAATAGCAGTTTTACTAAAACACATATATTTGGTTTTTGTTATGTTTATTGATAAATACTGTCTTCAAGCCATTTAGTGACTTGTTTTAGTCCCTTTTCAGCTGATTCAGTGACTGTTTGCTAGCTAGAATTATGAAACATGATAATAGTATCATCAGTAAACATACACATGGTGCCATTCTCAAAGTTGATTTTGCCCAGATCATTGATATAGACCAGGAATAAGGTTGGTCCTAAAGTATTACTTTGCGGCACTCCTTAAATACAGTTGGAAAAGTCACTGAGGTACTTTCCCATGCGAACCAACTGTCTTCTGCCTGTCAAGTAACTCTCGAACTATTTCAATGCTTATCTATCCAAATTCAATGGATGCAAACTTTATCATAATTATTCAGTCGAGGTCTGAACATAAAAGAACCAGTAGGTGCCAGCTTCGGCGTCAGACAGGATTATATAGCATTCAAATTCATCTACACAATTTTCCAGGTAAACTAAATTGTTAAGCAGAAATTGAAGAATAATGGGTTTATCTGCCATGAAAGTTCTTATCCGATGTTTTTTGAATATTAAGCATTTCTGATTATTTTGTTTTACATACAATGCGAAGAGATGGTCTTGCACCCTAGGAAACTAGGAAATACTAGATAAGAATTCGACATGGATAATAAGGGCCGCTGATAGCGGAGGGTGCGAGTTTGAGTCCCGTCTGCTCCGCTATCCAGTAGGATGCAAATAAATTTGAGGTGTAAATGTTATTTAAAATTTATAATATATGTATGTACCTTGAGACTGATTCAATCATGTGCTAAAGTTTGTGAAGTCTTATACGGCATTTCGTCGCACGCCTTGCCTGCCTTGATTGTGACCTACCTAATTTGATTGTGTTATCTAGGTCATGACCTACAGAAATATTGATACCTTCGATGTTATATATATATGATAACATTACCGTACCATGGAGATTTATTCACCAACTTACTAACTAAAGAAACACAACACTCATTAATAACTGCATTGGACTGCAGTTCTCTGTTATGTGCAGGATACTCTTTACTTTATTCAAAGTTCGCAAGCTATTTCTCATAATACTTACTATCGTTATCCTCGGCTGAATCATCCTCGGAACTCTCGGAACTCTCATCAGATATGGCCTCGTTTGAACCTGTAGGTTACATAACATTTTTGTTAAAGCAACCTGCGGCGCTATTTAGTTATTACTAATTGTCAGTCACTTTCTATCGTTCTAGCTTTTCATAGCAGATGGTAAAAGCCTGAATATATTCTAAGGCTGATAGCCTTATCTCAATTTTCCAAACAAAATAAGAGATAGAAGCAAAGCTAAATGTACTTAAAGTTGATGCTGCAAATAATATAATACAGTAACGGTGTTAAATTAATTTATTGATTTAAAATAAGGACAAACGAACAATAAGAATAATCCTTTTTTGTGCTTCATTCTGCCGCCGGGGCTTCTGCGGGGATAGAAACTAAGGCTACAGTAATATTACGAGAATCGATGTCCAAGACACTTAATCGAGACGACCTTCGTGGTCGTAATTTATTTAAATCTCTTTCCTAATTATTATATAATTTATTATCTAATGAAAATTTTACTAAAAAAAAGTCTATGCGAACCAGGCAGCGAATATTTTTCTTTAAATTTGAACATCTAGCAGTTCTATGCTTAAAAAATATATCCATTATTGCTATTTCTTCTTTCAAACGTTTAATACTTGTAAAGGTATTTATTTGACATTGTGGGTTACCTACAATGCAAAGAGATGGCGCTGCCTTGCAGCTTAAGGTAGGCTAGATAAAATTCGACACGGCCATCAGGGCCGCGATAGCACAAAAGGTCAGTGCAATGGCTCGGATAGTGAAGGGTACAGGTTCGAGTCCCGTCAGCTAGGCAGTAGTGGACCAGGCGGTCCGCGTGGAATTTTTTCTAGTTAAATTTTCTTTAGATTTAAACATCTAGCATTTACATGCCTAAAAAATAAAAATTTCATTTATTATTTACATAATAGCTATTAACGCGATTATTACCATGTACCATGTTTTTTATGTTACCATGTAACTTGCTAATTACTTCAGTTATTCCGTGATCATGACGCTTGTAATAGTGTCGAAATATCGTAGACTCATATGGGTGAGGCCGAGAATATTGCCACATTTCATTCCTCAAAAGAAACCTTCTTGTTTTTATAGAAAGTTACTAAATAGGGATTTCCTGGACTTTTTTGTAAAACTATATTGTTTTTATACAGCATGGCCAACAGTCAAAACTCAATATTGTGGTTGCCTACCACCGTATAAATTAAAAATAACCGTATAAATGACACATTGTTAAATAAAATGAAGCATTATGGGTATCAAATATTTCACTAAGTCTGATACAGTCTTATCTTTCTGCTGGGATTCAGAAAGTAGTTATAAATGAAGCTGAGTCCACAGGAGCACCCATTTCTATGGCCGTTCCCCAGGGTTCAATATTGGGCACATTGCTTTTCCTTGTTTAGATCAATGACCTTTCTCACTTTACAAGAGATTTGTGTGAGACAGTACTATTTGCGGACGATACCTCTTTAGTGTTTAAAGCTAGAGGAGGAAATGATTGTTATGACGAAATAAATTGTGCTCTTTCTGAAGTCCTTCATTGGTTTACGGTAAATTATATAAAATAAAACTGTAGTAAAACAAAATGTGTTAAGTTTACTCTACCTAATGTGAGGCAGGTTAATCTACTATATAAAAATAAGTCGGGTTTTCCTTCCTGACGCTATAACTCCAGAACGCAGGAACCTATTTCCACGGTTTTGCATTCGTTGGAAAGGTCTCGGGCTCCGTGAGGTTTATAGCAAAGAAAATTCAGGAAAAATTTCAACAAAAAAGCGGGAAATCTTTATTCACATACAGCGCCATCTCTGATACATAGCAAGTACTACAAACCAATATCATGTCAGATATAATATATAAATAATATATATCAGAAAAAATCGACGGCCGTTAAAAAAAATTAACAGAAACTAAAAAAAAGTTTTAGGAATTTTATATTTTTAATGCAATCGGAGGACTTTTAAGGACTTCTCATTTCTTGCATTGTTAATGTAAAATGAGCTTGAAGTAAGTAATCAATGTATGTATTCGGTGGAATGGCAGAAGCGTGGACTACCGCATGCTCATATCCTAATTTGGTTGCTGAACAAATTATATTCAAATGTAGTGAATACATTTTCATTACCCATCTACACGACATTGTGACGACACAGATGGTGCATGGACCGTGCGGTGCATTAAATCCATTATCGCCTTGCATGGCTGATGGAAAGTGCACAAAACGATATCTGCGACCGTTAGTTGCTGAAACAGTCACAGGGAACGATGGATATCCAGTTTATCGTCGGCGTTCAAAAGAAGATAATCGTCGAACTATCAAAGTTAAAGTTCAAAATCAAGAGATTGAGATCGGAAATGAATTCATTGTACCATATTGCCCGCTGCTATCACGAATTTTCGAAACACATGCAAACCTTGAGAGTTGTCATTCGGCCAAATCAATCAACTATTTGTGCAAGTACCTCACAAAAGGCACCGACATGGCTGTGTTTGGTATTGCGTCGGGAAATGTGAATGACGAAATCAGCAACTTCCAAATGGGCAGATACGTCAGTACTAATAAAGCACTGTGGCGATTATTGTCATTTCAAATTCATGTTTTGTTCATTCATTCATGCAGTGCATTTGGAAAATGGGCAAAGAGTTTACTTCAATGAGGCTAATGCAGCACAACGAGCTGAGAGACCACAATCGACAACATTGACTAGCTTCTTTGCAATGTGTGAAGCAGATCCATTCGCAGCGACGCTGATGTACGTTGAAATGCCCAAGTATTACACTTAGAATCAATCAACAAAGAAATTCCAACGTCGCAAACAAGGAACCCCAGTTCCAGATTGGCCACAGGTGTTTTCCACTGATGCACTAAGTCGCATGTATACTGTTCATCCTAGAAATGATGAATGTTTTTATTTGCGACTGCTGTTGGTAAATGTACGTGGACCAAAATCATTTGCGCATTTGAAAACTGTGAATGACTACCAATGCCAAACATATCGAGAAGCATGTCAACTATTGGGTTTGCTGGAGAACGATTCTCATTGGGATTTAACACTGGCGGATTCAGTTGATTCATCAAATGCGTACCAAATACGAACGCTGTTTCTCAATTATCATCACCAAATGTTTTCCTTCACAACCAATTCAGTTATGGAACAAATACAAAGACGACATATGTGAAGATATCTTGCATCGTTTGCGCATTCAAACGAATAATCCTGACATCCAAATAACCGATGAAATCTACAATGAAGGATTGATTCTGATTGAGGATCAATGCTTGACTATTGCAAACAAGCTACTGATTGAAGTAGGAATTCAACCAAGAATTAAATCGAGAGCTGCAATACAATGTTGATACATTGCAGGAATTCGTTCGAAATAATGTGTCGTTGCTGAATGAACAGCAAAAACAAGTATACGAAACATTAATACAAGCGGTGGACAATAATACTGGTGGTCTATTCTTCCTGGACGCACCTGGAGGAACAGGGAAAACATTTGTCATTTCATTGATTTTGGCCACTATTCGATCAAGATGTGACATAGCTTTGGCGTTAGCATCATCTGGAATTGCGGCGACTCTTCTAGATGGCGGTCGTACTGCACATTCTGCGCTTAAGTTGCAATATTTGTGCATGCAGTGTTGTGAAATGAAATATTTTTTTTCCTTTTCAAATATAAAACAAAAAAAAAATCTTCTTCTTTGAATCACCAAACGAAATGTTACATAAAACGAAGCCATCTGGTGGCGAAACGGAGTTCGCCGGGTTTGCTAGTACTAGTATAAAAATAAATGACCAGCCTGTAGAGCTAGTGGGTTCTACAAAGTTTCTGAGTATAACTTTGGACTCGCGTCTGCAATGGGATCCTCATATTTATGCCTTATCAAGAAGACAGAGCTCTGCAGCTTTCGCTGTTAAAAAAATAAGACTAATAACTGATGTGGAAACGGCAAGATTGGTTTACTTTAGTTACTTTCATAGTGTTATGTCATATGGCCTTTTGTTGTGGGGCTTAGCTGCTAATATCGAAAGTATTTTCATACTGCAAAAGAGAGCTGTTTGTGTCATATACAACTTAAATGCAAGAGAAACTCTTAGAGAAAAGTTTAAAGAAATTAATATTTTAACACTGGCATCGCAACACATTTATGATAACATAATATATGTAAGAAAAGACTGACGCCTTTCCAAAAATGGCAAACCCATACTTTAACACGAGATTTAGGAACATGCTTTCCGTTTCATGTTTCAGACTCCAAAAATCAAGAGGTTTACTTCTGGGTTGTAGTATTGCATTGTTTAATAAAGTTCCCCAAGATCTGATTGAGCTTCCACTGACTAAATTTAAATCTCAGATCAAGAATACTCTTATGAATAAGGGCTGTTATAAAATTGATGATTATCTTAATGATCGTAATGCATGGACATAGTGTTTTTTTGTAATTTGTTAATTGATGGGTATTAGTCATTTTTCATAACAGTTATATGGTACCTATGTAATGCCGCTTCCTATATACTAAATATAACGTTAACTATAAAATCTATTGTAAATATATACCTATATATTTTAAATGATGTAATGAAAGGTGACTTCAGAAGTATCTCTGAAGTCATTTTTCAACTTAACAACTCTGTATTTCACAACACAGGGAGAAAAAAACAGCCCTTGCTGAGTTTCTTGCCGGTCCTTCTCAGTATAAAGTTCTCCTGCCTTAGTTTTGCGACCCGATAGCGTAGCTTCTCGACATTCACAAGTGCTTGTAACAGCTTAGACTGAATAAATGATATTTCATTTTGATTGTTTGATTCTCTTGAAAATTGAAAAAAAAATGTGTAAAATCACCATGCTTTTTAGTACCTTACTCACTTTGAGTTTAATTTTAAAAAAGACATTGACAAGTGACTTGACCAGTGTCAATTATTATTCCTACACTAAAATCTACGCAGACTAGAATATTGCTTTTAAACTAAGACTTTTTAATAATGATAATTTACTAATTGTGTATTTAATGTTAAGCGATATCATACTATTCCGCAATCAACATTTTATTACAGTTTGTCAGTTCCATTTTGTAAACTTATGTTCTTTTGTAATGGAAACGCCAATGCGTCTAGTTTATGGAAGCTAACATGATAGGAGCCATATTGAAGGAAATATGATGTCAAACTTGTGGTGAAGTGAAGTGGTCACTGCTTTCGTGAGCAAGACTTTTCGCATTTCATAAGAAAAAGTTTTTTGCAAAGATTTTAACTGAGCCTTATTAGAAACGCGGGATCTTACAGTGCTTATTTTCATAGAAAATGTAATGTAAATGTAAACACTATTGCGCGACCATTTGCGAAATTATTGCGTCACTACCACTGCGCTCCCAAAACAAGGTCGTGGTACACTAGTTTCAGAAGCACTGCAGATATTTATGCGTTTTGCTTTTTTTTTATTATTATGGAAGTATGCTCGTGGTTTATTGAATACTTTCATAAAACATTAGTATTTCGTTAAGTTCATGTGCCAATATTTTATTTTTAATAGTTGATTGATGTTTATATGATTTTATTACAAAGTATACAGAGCCGTCAACACATCAAACGATATAAATATCCTTCAGTCAGACATAAATAACGTAGTAGAATGGTGTGGACGCAACGGTATGGAACTCAATATCAGTAAATGCTTTCACATAAAATTTAGCAGAAAGATACACGCTACCAGTGCAGCATACTTCATCCAGGGCGTCCTCATTAAAGAGGTTACTCAAATTAGAGATCTAGGAGTTATTATGGACAGTTCACTTAGCTTCAGGTTTCAGATAGACTCAGTTGTTAAAAAATCATCCAAACTAACTGGTTTTATTACTCGTCAAATGAAAATTCTGAAGGAACCCCAATTCACCATTCTTATTTACAACAGTATAGTGTGCAGCATTTTGGAATACGCTAGTCCTGTTTGGAATCCGGGGTACCAGATACATTCTACCCGAGTTGAACTTGTCCAAAAAAGATTTTTATACCAAGCTTTTTCAGATGGCATTTGTAAAAAACTTCGCTCTTATCAGACTCGCACAACACATTACGGGTTAGCCCTCTGACACAGGCGTAGGAAGGTTTCGGATATAATGTTTTTATTTAAATTAATCCATGGTCACATCGACTCACCAGATATTTTAGAGCATATAAAATTTTCAGTTCCTAGAATTAATAGCCGGCTGCAAAATCGAAAGACTTTTATACTGCCCCCCTGTAAGACAAGACTCGGGAATCACTCTCCTCTTTATAGAATGTTGTCAACCTATAATGCTATTCGAAATGATTTCGACATATTTAAAGGTTCTAAAGCCTCAACCAGAAAATATTTAAATTCAATATTCTCTGATTAGGTTTTATTAGTATTAACTTTCACTTAAATTTTTTAGTTAGAGTTCAACTTATATGTGCTATATTTATCCTTTAGTATATATCCTTAGTAGTTAGGTAGTTTTAGAAATGCATGGTGTGCTTGCATCTAGTAGGTTGCAAAGTAGTTGATGTTTTTTTTGTATGCATACATTTATATGGATATTCTTTGTAACCAGTTTTGTAAGCCAAATAAAAAAAAAATGAAAAAAAAATAGTTCAAATTGAAATTAACTTTAATTTTTCACCTTATACACGCAATTTATACCTACTTTTGAGTACCTACTTAAAAAATAATAATAAGAATGTAATTTTTGTCAGGCTTGATATACTCCAACCTGTATAATTTTGCACGACTATTTTGTTACGTGACCGTCGCGCAATATTTTGCATCACTACTGCATCACAAGTGCCAAAATTCGCGGCCTCACCCGTAAAAAACAAGGTACATGGTAACAATCTCGTTAATACCTATAATGTTAAGGACCATAAAGTTTAAAACAATATATTACATAATTTATTATCGAATTGAAACAACTGTTGCTCGAAACGGTGTCTGATTAACAAATTAATTTGATTTAAGATGATTGGCAAAACAATAAACTTTTTGAAGAATTGCCAATTTAAATCCATTACAACTTAGATAATACTAACCGATTTATTCATAGTCAGTTTACGTAGATATTCGTGTAATTTTATGAGATAGATTATGCGGCACAATAGCGACATAAATAGAGAAAAGTCATCAGGAAGGATGATTCTGTCTGTGCTAATAGTATCCTTAGGATATTATCTTGGTATCCTATATGAAACAAATATCATCATCATCCATCAATGTCACCACTACTAGCCTTACAAAAAAAGGTAAGTATAATTTTTGTTGTTTGACACTGAATTATGAAAAAAAAGTTCCAATAAATCGAGACGAACAAAATTTACTTGTCTTTTGCAGCGCTATATTTTTGAACTAGAAATTTCGACTTTTTCCATGCTTCCGATTCTAATTTTAGAAAATGAATTCAACAATATAAAACTGCCAATTGCGACTAGTAATCTTTTAAATAAAGTGTTATATGTTAATACCTGCATAGGTCACACTCAGGAACATGCCGGCAGTGATGCCCACTATAAGTACAAACTTCCACATTTTCACGTCTGACAAAGTATCACCGGCTCACCTATCGCTTTTATAGCCTCATCGGGTACTTGTTGAAACAATAGAAAATGATATATAGCGTGTGTGAAATAGATTCTGCTCTTTGTTTCTTACCAGCTGTGTTAATTTTATTGGTATTGTAAGATGTTATTTTGCGTCAATTATATTATATATATATTAGCCTATTATCTGTTTTGCCTGATCTAACCCCCCCCCCCCCCCCCCAACGGATACACCCCTTGGTTTTTTATTCTTCACAGTTTTATTTTTCACCCTTGAATAAGAAGTACAGTTCTCGTGTGCTGTAACTTCCTCCTCTAATTTGAAAATTATAAGTATATAAATTTTCTATGGTTAAATCGTTTCAGTTCAACGTAGTTATACATAAACCTACGTAACATAGGTTGTTTAGTGAATACCTAATTCAAGACCTGCCTGTAAAGCTTATAGTTAATTTATTTAAACTGGCTAGTCTTTCAAAGACGAGGGCACAGCTGTGCCTGCGACTTACGCGTCGGACAGATGTTGGAACATAATAACATGTCACAATGACTGTATGTGGGAAGGTTACATGATTATTTTGGTGAAGTGAAGTTCTCTTGAAGACGCCATTATATATGAAATCATCTAGCTCTTTACTGTTAGCCATAGGGAAACCGAAAAACTAATACTGAATGAAGTCCACTTCCGCAAAGGGTATAAAGTCTGGTCCTGTGCTTTATATTCCGAAATACCTTGTCACCATACCCAAATGTTTGTTGTTTGTGTTATATCTGTCTGTGTTCATCCTATACAGTAGAAATGAGATTAGGAAAACTAAGTATGAAACGTAACAAACAGAGATTGTTGCCAATTTTCAGTAGTTATTTTGCTAACGATTTTAAAAAGCATTTCGGCAGTTTTATTTTCTTACTTATTTGTTATGTATTTCAGCATAAATAAAATGGAGTTCTTCAAACAGGCATCATTTTCGTTCTTTTCCAACCGCACGTTAAAATTCATCCTTAAAAGTCTTCGAATCCCTCAATCCAATTTTAAGGGGGTAGTTTAGTAGACAAACAATATATTTTGATAAGTTTCAAATCTAAAGGAATAAAAAATTTCATACAAACTTTCATCCTCTATTTTAACCCCTGCGGGATCGAATTTGAAAGATCCTTTCATATTGCACACCTAGACCTCATAATGAACCTACGTCTAGACCTAGCGGTTTGGGCGGTGCGTTGATATGTCAGTCAGTCAGTTTCTTCTTTTATATATTTATATAATAAACAAAGTTTACTCACGGCATTGCTCTGGTGAAACACAATTTCCTTCTTTGTTTCCGAGTTTAGAGTCTTTACAAAGATACCCTGGCTTGCATTTAGCCTTATCTCCACAGTCGGTCTTCAGGAAACCTACTTCATCGCATGTCACAGGACCACATATTGATTGAAGACAATGCGAGTACTCTTCTCCACCTAGGCAATTATCTATAAATATTCATATTGATGTATAGTAACTAAGAATATTGATGTACTGTAAGAATATTGATACTTACTATAGTAAGTAACTTTATATTTGAAAAAAACCTCATTTGTAATAATGACACTTGGTCTGATACCAAAATAATTGAATAATTTTGTGTTATGTAAAATTAAAACTAAAAACATTTATTTATGGACGGCACTTTGCAGTTGCGCAGGTTGAATAAACTTTTACATCAAAAATAAATCTTAACGCAAGGGCTCAAAAAATCTAGAAAGTTCTCTTCTGTTCAGTCTCTGGTTGCGTAAACAAAGTTCGCAAGCACCGTCATTCAAAAACCATATGCGGCGTTAAAATGAATGAGGTGCCCCTGCACCCATTAGCTATTTTCAGTCCACAAGGGGCAACAATAATTAATGACTATGGACTTAAATTACTGGCCTAGTGGTAGTGGTCGTATTAAAATTACGTATTTTTTTAGCATGTACATTATTGGTCCTGATAAATTTTACCCCACCCACGGTATGAGCAATCTATGATGGGGTAGAAAATAGTGCCGTCACATCCATCCTTATTGTAAGTTTCAGGCCTAAACTCAATTGCCTATCCCGTGGAACTTTGGAATTTTACTCATCTACAGAAACCGATTGAGAGTATTATTATTTTATCGTTGTCCTCTGTAAGGTGTAATGGCCGCCCTTATTAATGTGTGATATATGAGGAGTTCACGTGTTTATATCTGACTGATTTGAGAGCAGCTAACGTCGTCTGCCTAAGGCCATGCCCTCCGGTTGAATATCTGGTCGACCTCCAGGGTGACCAGACCCGGAGTATTTAAAATCTTGGCTTGATCATGCACCAAGTACGGGCGCGGCTGCCGCGCTAACGTGTGTTATATGGTTTCATAGGAGATGTCCGAATATCTACAACGTGGTGTGGGCGGCAGACGACTGACTGGATTACTGAACTTCGAAAGACACCTTTGTCTCCTAATACTCATCGTTGACTGCTACAACTGTACATATTGTCACAAACGCTAGAGAAGTGCTAGAGATCTAATGCGCCAGAGCATCGCGGGTCGCGATAGAGGTCGAGTAATGCGGCTCATTCTAAAATGAGCCTTATGCAGTGCGGCGTAAGGGGGAAAGTTATGCACGTTGCGTTATTATAAGTAGGTACTCGCGGGTGCTAGCCAATTCTCAATTTAACAGGTACTTTCTAGAATGCATCGATCGGCGTATATAAGCGCGATTGGCCATTAAGACAGTTGAGTTTCAACAGCGATTTCGGAACGAATCCAAAGGCGATCAAAGTGCAACAAAAGTGGTCAAGTGCGATTGTTTAGAGACTTGTATAGTGAAATACAGTGTTTAGTGAGTGTTTTGTAATTAACATTGTGTGTTAATTGTGTGAACTGTGTGGTGAATAAAGAACTGTCAAGCGCGAACTGGCATATAATTTCGAAGCCCATCCCGTGTAACTAATGCCCGTGGTACAGTAGAAATGAGATCCGGCTAAGTATGTAACGTAACCAACAGAAATTTTCCCCTAATTTTCAGTAGTAAATATAATTTTGTTAAAAATCCCCAAAAGCATTTGTCAGTTTCATTTTCTTACTTATATGTTATGTATTTCTACTCAAATACAATGGAGCTCTTTAAACAGGCATAATTTTCGATCTTTTCCCTGTTTCACTCTGGACCTTGAAATATTACCCGAATAACCTGCTTTGGTAAAGTCCGTTTTGGTGTGTTCATGGCTTTGTCATTTGCTATTATAAACTTGGCCGTATTAGCCTAAATATTTAAAAAAATATTCGAACTCCCCGTGCTTCAGAAGGAATGGTAAGCCCCGGTCAACTGAATTTGCAATCGTTCGTTCGCTTTCATTTGTTCGCACCCATCCATATTGGGCCCGTATGATGGTCCTGTACACACTAACTAAAAGGCAATCGAAGAAATGCTGCTCCACCTATTACCAGCGACATAAGCAGGTACGTCCTTCTTGTATCTTGTGCTAGAACTTTCTAGTAAACAGTTCTGACTGCAGAGGGATGCAATCCGATATCGCACTATATGAATGAGTTAGATGCATACAGTACATGGTACATTCCTCCACTTACTAAACATACTTAAAAATTGTTAGAAGATACTAAAAAATAATAAAAGCAAACGTGAGTGTTGTAGAACACTCAGTTAGCACGAGTTAAAAAAATATTATGCCACCCACCAATCCGCACTGTGCGCACGTGGTGAGATACGAGTAGTCTAATCTTCCTATTCCATAAAAAAAAATCCTACCTACCCATCCGCACTGGGGCCGCGTGGTGTGACCCACTTATCTGCACTGGGTCCATGTGGCAAATCTTGGACCAATCTCCCTATTCCATAGAAAATATATATACTCGTACGACCCACCAATCCACACCAGGCCCGCGTTGTGAGTCATGAGCTTTAGACCCAATCTTCCTATTCCATAAAAAATGTACCCAGCAATGCCATTATCTAAATTTTCAGCTGGTGCCCAAACTAGGAAAACCTGTGCTATAAGAACCAGCAACGTTTAATTAATATCGTTTAAGATGAAAGGAGGATAAAATTCCAAAACTATAAAATTAAATGTAAATTTATAAAAATACTAGCGGACCCGACAGACGTTGTCCTGTCTACACGTCTTTGTGAATCTAAACCATTCTCAGATCCCCTTGAACACACACAAAAAAAATCATCAAAATCGGTCCAGTCGTTTAAGAGAAGTTCAGTGACATACACACTCACAGAAGAATTATATATATAAAGATAAAGCCATTAATTAAGTAACAATGTTAAACTGCTAATTCTATATATATTTTAAATAACCAGGGACCTAACAAACCACAAATACAACCCAAGAATTTTCAGTTCTATAGGTTTAATGCCAGAATTTTTTTTATAGGATGTTTGAGTTATTTCGTTATTTAGATAAATTAAGTAAAATTTCTGTTTTATTAAAATTCATTGATTTTATTTTAGCATTCTGTTACATTTATTTTGCAATGATATTATATTTTGTTAGCGAATACTTAGTATATTATAGTTATCTGATTAATTCGCTTATAGAAGAATACACCAAGAAAATGGTAGAACCTTTAACTAAAATTGGTTATAGTTGTAACTTGTCACTACTTGTCTCCGCATGTGTATTACTTCGGAGTTTGGATTATAAATTTAGGAATGATATTTTAAAATAAATTTTAGGTAGTACCTTTTAACAGTTGTCGAACAGTTAGAACCTCGCAGATCTGATAAACGTATGAAGTGGAAAAAGGAAAATTCTTACATTAAAAACCTTTTAACACTGCCCGCTGCGCACGTTTAAATCTAAGCCTGTATCCTATCCCCTACTCTCTTTTTGCTGCATGTCAATGGCATAATTTCTCTTGGGAATATTCATTGCAATGCAAGGTACAACAAGGCTTGATCCTCGGACAAGCACCGGCTGGACTGGCGGAAACCAAGGAGGAACGAGAAAATCTGGTCATTGGACTCAATCAGGATTTGAACCACATTTCCGAATAGGGTACTAAGAACTTGGTTGGGTTCACTGCTAAGAAAACCCAGGTCTGCGCTTTCAGGTCAGAAACGTTCTATTCCAGGGCACAACACTGGAGCAGTATCACTATGTTCGGTATGGAAATACACTGTGACTTAAATCCAAAA